ATGATTTTAAAAATATCGCCAGATAAGATTATGGTACTCAAGCAGTAGAATATTTGGTACTAGAAAATAATTTTCAATTTGGAGAGGTAATTCGGATATGAACAACTGTTGGTTGTTTTGAAGTCTATTTTCACTAAACCGGGGTGCGCGATAGACTTACCTCCTCGTGGTGCACCCTGGGTAACGTATACTCATACGGCAAAAAAGTCTATTAACTGGCAGTTGACTTCTGACTTCAAACTACCCTCACCCCATTGTATGTCATATTCGAATACTTCCGCAATACTCACCTCACCTTTTTCCACTTTTGTGTCTGCCTCTTTTACATCTTTGAAGTTCTCTTCTGTTCCCCCTCTCCCTCTCGACTTGTTTCACTTTGATGTTCCTCCTCCTCTGTGAAGCCTGAAGTCAACTAAAGGGCTAATGATAATTTTCACAACGCCTGCCATTTGATATAAATAAATTTTCACTAAACCATGTTCAAACTTTCCTTCCTAAGTTATCGACACTTTTAAAGAAACTGAAGCCTGTTTAATTATTTATTTACAATCCAAGGATAAGATAAAACCATCGTTCATTTCAGAGTATAAGGAAGTATTAACATAAACTTTTAAATAGTCAGATTCTGATTAAATATTATGAAACAGATGAGTTTTAAGTGGGAAAACATTTATTTCGGTGTAAGGTGGAAGTATAAGTAGTTAAATTTATATTTTAGGGTTGGTGTATAACTATTATTAGTTGTAAAATGTGGTGATTTAAACCTTGAATGTGTTCGATATTTAGTCTGTCTAATAAATAAATTAAAAACTTATTATGAAACTCAGATTGTATAAAATCTAAGTAGGGAAAATGTTAAAAAGCAGAGAGGAAGATCGGTTATATATTTTAATGCTGGTTATTAAGGAAATAAAATTTATTAACCACGGTAAGTGCAGATCAGATTAATGACTATTACCAATAACTTTCAATCTAAGTATGGACTACAAGAATAGTTGAACTGCTTTCAACGTTATCTATGCAAGTATTCTAGCTAAATTATTTAATTAAATTGGTTAGATTGCCTAAAGACTCCAATAGTGAATGTAGGTAAATATTACATGCTAAACTATTTCATTAAATTAAATTTTTTACAATAAAATTAAACAATCGTCATTAAGAAGGGCACAAAATAGGGTAAGATTTTCGATTGCATTTCGCTGGTTTAATTAGAATAACTAATAAATATTAGCAAAATAAATTGAAAATTATTTTTATTTAAAAATGATTGCACTTTGGGAAGTAAGTCTGAGCATTATTTGCGTATTACTTTTCTAGCTTTTTGAAAAATTATGAGAATAATGTGTTTAAACTGACTAAAATCAAGGTTGATTTCGGTAGAATATTCTTCTCTTTAGCACGTGGTGGAATGGTATGTTCCAATTTTTTCTTATGATATTATTCTTATTTCTAAAACAATAGGCAACTAAGGCTTTCACAAAGTTTCTACCTCTCTTTGATCGCGTTCTTGTTCAACGCTTTGAAGCAGCTACAAAATCCAAGGGAGGTATCATAATTCCAGACAAAGCCAAAGAAAAGGTGTTGAAGGCCACAGTCGTAGCTGCTGGACCAGGCCGTGTTGGTGAGGTTTGTTGGATATTTTGAAAGTGTTATTTTTTGCTCAGGATGGTAAATGCATTCCAATCTGCGTTAAAGTTGGTGACAATGTTTTACTTCCTGAATATGGTGGCACTAAAGTTGTTTATGATGATCAGGTAATTTGTCTATTCGTTGTTTTTTACTTAATTGAATGTTTTTAACATCTAGGATTATTTCATTTTCCGCGAATCTGATATTCTTGGCAAAATTACGGAGTAAAATAATGTCGCCATCTTTTAGTTTTTCCGCATCAACTTCGTGCTGTAGAACCGCATTTTAGTATTTTGTAATAATACATCTTATAATAATGTTCATGTCATTTTTGTTTCTGATTTCGTCCTTGGTAGTAAAGATTATTATTCCTAGATAATTAGAACTATAGTTCATATTAACGCAATGTCTTAACCGGTTTTTTGATCTTTTTCTGATGAACAGTCAGTAATAATAGTAGAGTCTGTCTAATCCGTCTGAAAAGGAGCAGTTATGTATTCTCAAAATGAAAATTATCATATTTAAATCTTGCAAACATGAAGTGGATGAAGTATGTTATCGGCAAATCAAGGCCATGATGAGATTTTCTCGTTTATGGGTTAACGGACTTCGGGCAGCCTAAATATATCTACGAATCTCGCGTCGACCTAGTTTAACCTTTTATCACAAGAACTGAAGTTTGTGCAATTTTGTGAATATTCTTAAATTAATAGTTCAGTTTAAGTCTCGTCATGCGGTGCTATTGTTTACTAAGCTTGTCAATTTAACCACTTTCGAATGAGAGACAAGTTCTGATCTGGTTCTTTTTTTTCACTTGGTAGATTCCTTGTGACCTGACCACTACGTTAGTGGCATTCGTTCTGTACGATGTCAATCACACTGATGGGGAGCACTTTAGGTTCTTCTATTGTTTTTCATAACTTCGAATTTATGTTTAACATTTTCTGATGATGTTGCGGAGAATGCTTGTCTGACTCACTTCGGTCGACTTCATTTACCATCAAACCGAGCATTAAATGTAAGCAAGTTGCTTTCTCATCTATTCAACATTCTGGAAGAGATAAAAATCAGCTAACCTATAGTGGATAGTGAAGATGCGATTAAGATAGTCGGAAAGTGTAAGTAATATCGAAGAAAAGGTCAATGGTGTCCTGGTACAGAAATGAATGTTGAAATGTCTTATCTGTAAAAGTGTTCTAAGGACTTATTGGATCTGCGTAAACAGATAAATGCCAACCCCCACAGAAACCTAAATTGGTAGCATCTTCCTTGCTTGAACATTTAAAGTGCGGCGGCCCGTGCAACCTCCATTGTGGAAACTAGCGAGCATTTCTGTCAATTTCGGTGGACACACCGCTGTGAAATAGCCCTAGGGCACATCGGCGAACACAACACTAATCGTGGGCATTTCTGCCAGGTACCCGGAGAGTTGCCCCGGAGTGACTTATCAGCCATTACCTGCTGTTGATGACCTCCGACGCACACTCACCGAGCCGCCGCCCCTTCCTAAGAGTTCGGACTACTAGTTTCTTGAATAAGAATCTCTAATATCTCATACTCTATATCATTAAGCTTTATGTCAGATCAATCAACTCATTTAACCTTTTTTCTTAAACAAAAGAAAATATTTCATTGAATCGCCATTAATTTCTAGTATTAACGTTTTATATGTGAAAAATATATTAATATATCGCAATCTAATATAAGTAGTATATTTATTTAAATTTTACCGATTTATGGATTTACTTATAGTACTTGGGGTTTTTCAAAAACCGATTTACTAATTGAAAAAAATGGTATTATAGACTGCTAAGCATTTTTCTTTTCAAATATTTAATAAGCATTTTTTATATATTCCTAATAACATTTTAAGAATGTTTTGTGCAATAGACCTACCTCCACGTAGTCCACCCTGGACAAATTGGGAGTTGACTTCATATTATTTTGATCACTTTGAAACGAGGCTATAAAAGAAATTTCACTTGTCATGGCGAATCACAACTTCTACAGATCCTTCAGTGGAATGCTGAAGGGATGTCACAGGACAAGAAGATCCAAATATAGAAAATCCTACGTACCTATGATATAGACATATTCACAATCACGGAAGCCAACCTCACGGGATGACAAACTCAAATGCTACCAATTCCAAGGTTACACCTTATACCTTCTACCTAAATACCATCAAGTTGCAAGTGGTTTACTGACTGGAGTAAAAGAAGGCCTCACATCACATTACGATCTAATCAAGAGTATGAGCTCGGGGCAAGAATAAATGTTTTGAAATGACAAAACCACTTCAAGATATACGCAGTCTATAATCCACCCCAGAATAGTCCTAACT